AAAAAAAAAAAATAAAAAAAAAATAAAAAAAAAACACATCATAGTAAAATTAATACCTTCTCAGCTTCGCATCGAAGCTAAAAAAATAAAAAAATACATCATAGTAAAATTAATACCTTCTCAGCTTCGCATCGAAGCTAAAACTATTTAGTTGTTTTATAAATCATTTGATTAAAATTGTCTAGAAAGTTGTTATCAACTTAAACTTTCACATATTTATTTCCTACTATAACATTTTCATTTAAATAAAGTACACAAATTGAATTAAAAAAAAATTAATGTATTCAATAATTTTAATAGTTGTAAATACAAATCATGTCAAAGATATTTATCTTACATAAATGTATAACATATGTCATCAGCTAGCCAAATAATTCACAAACCTTAGCTGCTTCATTTTACTAATTACAATTTTGCATGACTAGATATAAAAGAAATAATATATATTTATATATATATATATAGATTCATGTAGTTTTCTTATGTAAAATTAGTTTTGAGCAAAAAATACACTGAAATAAAAATAAAAAAACCAACTATAAAAACTAATATTATTAGTGCTAATATTAATAAAATAAATAAAAAGTTACTCATAAAAAGGCACTGCAGATTTAAGCCTCGGAAGACTGTACATTTTTGTACTATACATTTTAGTTATGCATGACAACCAAAACTTAAATAATTTTTAAGGCTACTCATTTTCAACAGATCTTTGGTAAATAACTTAACTATATTAAATAAATATTAAATATTGTTTATAGAGTTGATGTGTATACTACGTAACATGAATATGAGAGTATGTGGATTAAAATTATGAATATGAAGAATTTGTATATAAACAACCCTCTTATTAATTTATATACAAAGAGTTCTGCAGCTTTTTTCAGTCTAATTCACTAAGCAATAACACATTTTCTTTGTTGGTGTTTAAGTGGAACTGGCCGTAAAACAGCTCTTACTGCTTCATCAAAAACCTTAAACATCAAAATATAATGTATTATTGTTTTTTTTTATACAAATGTATAAAATCATATTTTTGATTTTTTAAATCTAGCCACCAGATTACTCATAGAATAATAATGTTTTTTGAGAAATTTTTTTTTTTTGCTTTTGTTAGTTACATATGTATTATTATTTATCTGTAATAAAATATTTTGATGGTTCATACCAATGTCTTACAGAGTGTAAACTTTATTTCAGCTTCAAGTAAAGCTGAGAAGTTCAAATGAACACAATTTTAATGTAATTGAACCCATTGTAATCAAAAATTAAAAAAAAACTTCTTCAATTTTAGAAATGTAAACAAATTATTTTACTCTAAAAATGATTTTAAAAACCTAATATTTGTATGCATTAAAAACTTTTTTTTTTAAATACTTAAATAAATGAAATTTTAATACAATATAAAAGTTACAATAAGCTTTTATTTTGTATAATTTTTGTGAAAATTCAAAGAAAACTCTAATTACAAGAAGGATTTGAAAAAAATCTTTTATGCATATAAAATTGTTCAAGTAGACATGAAAATGATCCTGAACAACTGCATTTTTCTAACCTATACTAAAATTAAAACTATTAAAATGTACTTCAATTAAAAAAAAAAATTGCCCAAAAATTGATGTATTATAAAAAATTAGCAATCATAGTAAAAAATGTTGTAGTTTAAAAAATATACATATATATTATATATATATTTTTAATTTTTGGACATCTCCTTTTTCAATGTTATACAAATTAAATCAATATTTTTTCAATGAGTGATTTGTCTTAAAAGCAATAAATTACAAAATTTCTGTAAAAATTCATCACTCTATTTTTCATTTGCTATGACTTATTTAAAAATACATTGTTCATAATGAAATTTAACAGATTAACATTAAAAAGTTTTTTATGATAAGGATGTCAATCACTGTTGAATTTCTCTCATACTTGTCTCAACTATGTCACGAATTTACTGTGCTTGGATTTTTTTAAAATACAACACACTTATTTAACTAGCTTATAAAGTAGAAAATAACTAATCGATAATAACTTTTAGACCAGTATTTCAGAATTTATTAACAATTTAAAGTAATGGCTAGAGGTGAGGAATACATGCTGCTATTTTAATCACTAGTAATTTTCTGTTCCCACTTCTTCCCTCTAGTATGTAAACATTAATGATGGCTTGTTATGAGAAAATAAAGATGACACCAAATAAGGTATGAACATAAAAAATATTTTATAATAGATAAATGGAGATACATATATAACTAACAAAGACCAAAAACAATACACAAAAAAATTATTTAAAAAAAAATTGAGAGGCAGTGTTAAAAGAATCACACGGTATATATTAATTACAACTTTTATAATTTATTTAAAAAATAATAAACTTTAACTTTTATTTTTAGAAATTATAAAATGTTATAATCAGAATTGCATATAGAAATTGTACTGCCCGGCTGCTCATTTTACTGTTCTAAAGAAAACCTATAGAGATCTTCAAACTATAAAATTCATGTTTTAATACTACTTTTATGATATTCATGTTTCCATTCAGAGTTTGCAAACGCAAATCTCCTATTAAATGCAGCTCTGTTTTAAAATAAAACTTTTAAAAGAAAGTATTTTTTCCCGAATAAATAAATATATGTATGACATAAAAAAATAATATTAATTAAAACTACAACTGATTTTTATAACTAACCAATTTTAAACCTCTTTGTGTTAATGCAGAACATTCTAAATATTTTACAGCTCTGATTTTATTTGCCAGTTTCTGACCCTGTTCACGTTTAATAGGAGACAGTCCTTGCTCAGATAAAATATTTAATGTTTCTTTATCTTCTCTTAAATCTATTTTTGTTCCGACTAAAATCATGGGTGCATCTGGACAATGGTGTTTAATTTCAGGATACCACTTAGAAACTACATTTTCAAATGATGATGGACTTGCAACACTAAAACATACTAGAAATACATCTGTCTGAAAAATACATAAAATATAATTAATTTATCATATAAATCGTTGTTAGATGCATTATATATTACCTGTGGGTAAGAGAGTGGTCTAAGCCTATCATAATCTTCTTGACCAGCTGTATCCCAAAGTCCAAGACTAACAGGAATGCTATCAACCACCATTGGTGCAGAATAATTATCAAATCTGTATAATAAAATACTTTAAAATATAATCTGAACTTCACAAATTATTATAAAATCAAATTAATACTTACACAGTTGGAACATACTCTCCAGGAAAACTATCAGTTGTATAAGATATTAACATACACGTTTTTCCAACTGTGCCATCTCCAACAACAACACATTTAATAGGTCTACCTGCCGACATTTCTAATAAATCCTACACTTTTCAATCAAAATAAAAGTACAATATGCTATTTTAACCTAAACAATACATCTATTAATCACTCTTAGTTTATATCCTTAATAGTAATTATAGTAATTCTGGTTTATACATTGGAACATGACGATTAATATTAATAAGTACAAAGATTAGAATGTAAAAATTAACGAAAAATGATCTACAAATTACAATTATCATTAAAAAATAAATTATTTATCAAACATTAAATTGATGTTATCATTAAAAATGATACAAACGCTTACAAAAAACGCATTACTTATAATGAACCCTTGTTACTAACTGATAGGTTAGTAGTCATAAACATGAGAAAAAGTTGCAACCCAACGGTTGGCCAACGTTTGTGTGATAACGCTATTATCAAAGAGGATTGCAACGAATTTTGTGCAAAATTTAAAATTTCTAATGCAATATCTAGCATTAATAAAATTTTTAGAAAAATTTAAACGAATAATTTTATTAAAATTAATTTAAGATTACACAATACAATTGAAGTTAATCATTGATTTATAATTTATTGACACAGTAAGTCTTATCTATTTTATTAATTGATTATTTAAATTTACCATAGTAATAATTTTTATAAAAAGTGTAAACATAAGAATAAGTTTAAATTATCTTTTAAGACATAAAATTTAAACTTATATTATTTGTCATAATTATAATTGTATTTTGTGTATATATTTACACTAACAAATTTTATTATAATTAATACCAAATATTTGTAAAAAATATTTTTATCTAAAGTGTAGTCAAATTATAAATTAATAATTTTAAATAAAAATAAATTTTTTTTAATTTTTAATGACTGGGTATTTATTTTCAACTTATTTTTTGAATTAATAATATATTTAATTAGCTATTATATTTTACAAATAATCTAGTGATATGAACAACTAAATAAAAAATATATTATCAAAATTAATTTTAAAATAATTTTATTTGAAAAGGGAATGTTTCATTAAAAAAAAAAGAGTAAGTTTATATTTTAATGTTTGTCTTAATAAATGTGTTATACTTTCTACAATTTACTTAATCTTAATTAGTGAAATTGTATTGGGTTTAGTAAAATAACCTGATTTTCTACTAAAACAAATTATCCGAATGTGGCTATCCATATATTAAAAAGGTGATTAAAACAAATTAAAGAATATTAACTACTTGAAAATCATATCACATACTGCAAAAGCAAATTACAAATATATTAATAATGTATTATTAATTTTATAGTGTAAACCTATTATTTGTTGGTTGTGTATTTATTTATATCTCATTATAGAATTTCTTAAAAATTTAAAAAAAAAGAAAACATTTTTTTGTTGGGTGCACGTACATTTAATAAGGATTTAATAATATTAGATTAAATATTTTATTATTAACTATTATTTGTTATGTTATTATTATAGATTATTCTAATCAAAATAACAACTTTTTTGTACATCAGTTAATTTGTTGGCATATTCGTACATTTTGTTTTAATAAACATTTCTTACATAATTTATAATATTAAAAAGGATTAATACATATATTATATAAAATATTAATTCTTGCAATTTTCTTCCAGTAATCATAAAATGTACAAGATCAAATTAAACCACTTAATTTTCATTTTTTCACAATATATATTTCTGTTTATATTTATAAAGAAAAACTATTGTGAACTTAATTTTTTTTTTAAATAATTTTTAAATTCAATCCTTATATCTTATTAGAGTGTGAACTTATTTTTTAAATGGCAATTTATAAATCAATTTAAAGTAATGGCTAGGAATGGTGAGGAATGGATGCTGCTATTTTTTCACTAGTAATTTTCTGGTGTACTCTTCCTCTCGTCTAGGTATGAAATTGAAAATTACTTCTAAAATACTGGTCTAAAAGTTGTTATTGATCAGTCATTTTCTTAATTAGATAATTTCTATTTTATAAGCTAGTTAAATATGTGTGTTGCCATTTAAAAAATTAAGTTCACACTCTAATAAGATATAAGGATTGAATTTAAAAATTATTTTATAACAGATAAATGGAAATACATATGCAATTAACAAAAATCAAAAAACATTTTTAAAATAATTATTATTTTAAGACAAATTGATGTTAACTAAATCACTCTGTATATTGGTATATAAAAACATTTTTTGTTGAAACATTTAGTATAATAGATCTAAAAAATTTATATCATTTTTAAACCTTGTTAAAAAGTCAGTCTGTATTCAATAAAACTTAATATTTTTGGACTAAATTCTTCATCCCTTAATTAGATAATTTTTTAATGGCTTAAAGAGTCAATGACTGATATATATTAATTATTTAAAAATTTATTGGAATAATAAATTATTTCTTACATTATTTACGTCATAATAATCTTATAATTAATTTATAGGTAATTATATTAAAAACAAGAATCAATTTTTCTTGGGTATTCATGTATTTGATAAATTTTAATTATTATAAATAACTGTAAAATCTGTATACTTATCTTTTTTAATTTGACCTTTCTCAGTTATAAATTGAAATAAGTAATCTTTACTATACTTCTCCATATTTTTGTAAAATGATTTTTTTAATTACTTTTGATAAAATTAATATTCACATAATAGGTAACTGTTAAAATATGATTTCAAATATTTCTATCATAGCAACATTTAATTTTAATAATAACATAAAAAGACTCAACTAATTGAGTATTTACAGTATTTTAAATTAAATTAATTTAATATATAAAGAATCTTATATTTATTTCTTTGTGACAAGAATGTTTGTTTTTGCAATACATGAATTAAACTTGAAATTTAGTAATTAATATATTTAAATATACATATTTTATTATTTTCATTATCCTAAACATTTTGAATGATTAGCCTGATATGATGAATAACTTATTCTTTTAGTTGAATAAAAAGATTAATCTAATTTAAAATAATAAAACCGTTGATAAAAGTAAAAATAATTACAAAAACAAATTGATCTATTGTTAATTATTTACTCTACACTTCATTAGAATCGTTACATAAACGTACAATTTTTATATACTTATATACTTTATATACTCGTTAAAATATTCAAAACTAGTAGTATTAAATCACTATATCTAATCTTTTATAATTTTATTATCGACTATTGTTGATTCTATCAGAATAAAAACTTTAAAAATATGGTATTTATACAAAAAATAACATTGCTTTTATTTCTTTAAAATTCGTTAAAATTTACCATATAGTAGATGTTGCTTAAAATCTTTTAAGTTTAAAAAAAAAGTAAGCGTGTTACTTTTAAAACTTAAAATTATTAATTTTTTTAGTATAATTTGTCACGGATTCTAGGGAAAATTTTCGTTAATGTATTCATAATAATTTTTTAACTAAATTAAAACATTACAGTAAATTTTAAATAATTTAATGACTTGATAATTTAACATTTGAAAATTATGATTTATTTTATTGAAATCGATTAATATAATGTTAAAAGAAAATTCATATTCGTTTAAATCGTTAAATTATCAATAAAAGTAACAAAACAATAGTTTATAAAACATTATAATGCATATTTTGTTTGATTATTTATTTATCCATAAAATTGTCAAATCATCAAAATAATTTTATATTATAAATAATATATGTATCTTCTAAAGATTAGGGTCAATAAATTTTTAATGAGTACAAATAATTATTTATAGAATTATTGATCAAAAGTGATAAGTATTGTATTGTACAAATTACCCAATTTAAATGGTTGAATTATAGAGCATTGATATTGTGTTCACAGCTACAATACTTAATTTAAAACGTCAATTACTACGAATCATTGTGAATAGTAATTTATTAAATAAGAAAACATTAATTCATCCGCATGATTTAAGCTTTACGTGATACCTTTGTAATAAAAATAATAATCGCCGTAATTGGCGAATAAATTTTAGAAACGTATTTTCTTATAGTTTTTTAAGTTATTCGTTACATGTTTAAGTGACTGCAAGTTTCATTTTCTATGACCCATATCATCGCAACGACCGTGTACGATTCGTTGTACGTATTCCGTAACAGTTACCTCCTTGCACCAAATCTTTTTCGCTAGTATAACTAAACATTTACATTATACATTTACCTCATAACACAGTTACTTATACATAGCAATGCGTAGACCGCATGACAAGACTCTTATTCTTTAAAAACGACTCAAATGTAAAATAAATAATTATATAAAAAAGAGCCCTGGCTATTAATTTATTTATAAAATAAACTAAAAAAATTACTTCCTTAAAGTCTAGATAGCTCATATAAATATTAGCTCATATTAAAAGCAACAACGATGCTAAATTAAACAATACAGTTTCGTGAGTAACAAATAAAAATTTGTACATTTTTTTATTTTTCAAAACGTTGTATACTTTGTTTTGAATTTCGATGATTTTATTTCGGTCAAAACTTTGTTGATAAAATCCGCTAGTATTTGAAAATTGTAATACACACACGCTGGTAAAGGATCCCAGAACGAAAACACCATTTCTCTTTTTTCCATCACCGTAGTCAACATATTTTTTATGGAAAATCCAATGATCGTTTCGTACAAGAGTTTCGGTAGATAATAACTCTCCACCACCTTCATAGCGGGCGTAACAGATAAATGATGTGGCGCGTGGTGCGTGGCGCTGCGAGATGGATACAAGATTTGTTCAAAATTACTACGATGGTTAACGTAGGTCAGGGGTACGCCGATCTGACAGCCTAAAGGCAAAACGTTCCTTGACGGCGATATGCACACCTCAAATGAGAGGATACCATCGAACGTAAATGGTAGAGTTGAAAAGAAGTGCATTAACCACGCGTCGACCAATTCATTTCGAGCTGGTTTTCCTGTTCTAATACTACACGTTACATTTCCAATCATCTTTCCGTCGTGGACAGTCGTGCACGTTGTGTAATATGACCCAGGCGTATCGTGTACAAGTAACCATGGACAGTCGTCGGAGACAGGACCTGGAAGTGTCAGATTCTTTCGACACTCCGGCATTTGAAGACAATGTCTTATCTTGCACCCGTAGAATCCTACGTTAACAATGAAATGTTTATCTGCCCTAAACGTAACGTTATCGTACAATTTTATAATGTCCTCTTTGGAGCATACTCTTAAATGTTTGGGTACCGGCAAACCCTCGATCTGACACTTATCCAATACTTGTGATAGATCGTTAAAAAATAGCACACCATCTAGTGCGGGCGTACAACACTTGCAGCCCAACAGCTCCAGATGAGACTTGGCGACTGCATCGTAGTAAGTGGGTACTGTTGTGCCCGTGGGTATGTAAAATCCGACCCGTTCTTTCTCAACAATCGTCCTCAGCGCATCAACATATTGTATACAGTTGTCTTCGCTGGGTTTGGGCACTGTGTAGTAACTGTCGACAGCTAACGAAAACGATGATAGCTCCATACAACCTTCAACTTCACACACGATTACCCTGACGCCAGCTGCGTGGAAATTTCTGGCCAAATGTAACGTTTGTACGGTACTTCCGCCATTGATCAACACGGACCTGTCGCCCCTGTAACGCCTTTTCGCAAAACATGTTCGAAGCCCGTACCTGGTAAACACTAGTGGTATGCGAACGCACTCCCATATGAACTGAATCCATAGAGAGGTCCACAGTAAGGGCATTCGCAAAAATAACAAGTTTATAATTGGTAAATGGAAAAAAGCCTTTACCATCTGCCACAAAAACGCGGGATACCAAGTGAGAGTAGTAACCATAACGTTTTGAGGTTGTGGTAAAAGACGGCCCGGTGGCGGTGACGTTCGTCTGTCAAGCAGATAACATGTGGACTTGGATCTCTTAAAACTGTGCGACGGTGAAATTGCTGGTGATGAAGAACTACTACCCGAACCGCCGCCTCGGCGACGGTCATCGGATATTGGTGCTTGACGAACGGTGTCGGGCATCGCGTCGGACATGCGAATGAGCACTGAACTCGTTATGGTATGTGAGCAATACCGGTCAAAGTTCCGGCAAACTATTTAATTTAATTGGATATTGTGTTAATCAGTTTTTCAATGTTTTTTTACTCGTTCAACCTTTGATTTTTAACTTTTCATATTTACTGGCATATTGTTAGTATAATTTTTTAAATATTTCTGTAACGCATTCTATTTTAATACCAAAGGCAAATTATTTGTATCGAATATAAATATAAAAACTCAATTAGAGTGTTTTATTATTCATATTACACATGCTATGCGTATAAATTATTTTAATTGCATTTTGCATTAGGTTCTTCCTCGTTTACAAACTTATCAGTAAAAATATAAAACGATGATATTGTCAATAAGGTCAAGTTCAACTTAATTTCATTAAGCATATTTCTATACTTTCTGCTTACTCCTGTTGTGTTTAATTTTTTGATGTAGATGATTCATCGTAATATCGATGACCCTTATAAAATCTGTCAATTTAAAATGCTCTTAAACGTTCTCCTGTTAAAAATGTACTGATTTCGGGATGATGTATTTCAGAGAATAAGATAATTTATTGACTTCAGACAACTAAACGTTTGAACTATTATGAAATCTATTAACGTTCTGTTTTCCTCGTGTATAGAAATTTTAAAACGGCTATGGCTCATACTACTTAATATAGTACTATGAGCTATAGTCTGCAACGTTTCCGTTATTCATTATAATGAATTGTGTGAAAATAATGTTACAGTTTGAACTTTATATGCGCCTAATTATTTTTGTTGATATTGTTTTCTATCGTCGAAATTAAGTTTAAAATGAAAAATAATAGCAATAATATATATAATGTTGTATCATGTCGTTATTAATTATACTGTTGACTATAAATGATGAATGAAATGCACATATTTAATTTTTAATAAATTATTTTTATCATTAAATCTCATTATTTTACTTATTATTTGTTTTAGATAACTTCAAAAATGAATAAACTCAAATTAAGGTATAAAAATATATATTTTATATTATATTATAATAATATGTTATATTATAATAAATAAAAAATGTTCTCGAACACTAAATAATGTTAACACTGTTAATTAACACTGCATCTCTACTTGCATTCATTACATATTTTTTCATAATACTTTTTATGTACTTATTGTTGCACGCTTAATGCAATTTTTCAAAGCTTTATTCTTTAATCGCTTCTTGCTGTCAACTTTCAAAACTTTTATGATTAATATTATTATGATCGCCGTAAAATGTTGAAATCGTTTCACCCTCGTATATTTTTTACAAGCATAAATAAACTAGCGCCAGTGCCAGTTATGAAATCGCATTTAGTTTTCAACGCCACCCTCAATATATGTTTAGAGCTCACACAAACCGTACAAGATAAATTTATCTGTTCGCTTAATCGCTCTCGTTTATTATATCGTCATAATATTTTTACCTGTCTGCTTTTTCCTTCTATTACCGCCGTTATAGTAAACAAATCAATGATACGGGTAAAACATTATGATTTAATAACCTGCCGAAATATGCATAAGTCATGCAATCCGTAACTTCGCCTCGAGGGTTTACTGTCGTGTGTCATGGAATCGGTGGGGTCACGTGACCAGAGCTATTTGTCTCCGTATCTGTCGGCGAGATCACGGTTACCACTTTGCCTACCCGAAGACTCCGCTGTAGAGATGGCACTGGCACCTGAATCGTCTAAAATCGAACAACAGTCGCAAAAGACGCTCGTCGTCGAAGTGGTGTCCCTGAAACCGATCGAGAAATTCCGCAGGGCCGTTGCAAAAATGCCTAGGGTGAGTGTCTTATTTGTGTAATCATCTTTAATTCATTGGAATAAAACATTTTAAATCATGTCGAGTGTTCTCAAGTGGTTTTCGTTAGTGTATTTATTGTTATACTATGTAGTTATTATGGTAGTTAAGTAGTGTGTAAAATCGATTAAAGTTTTAATTGGATCCGAAAAACTTTGTGAATGTAGAAAAGGGTAGTACTAAAATACTGGATAGCATTTAACTTGCGTTTACTAACAAACTATTGTTGAAATGATATTCATTTGAAATTAGACCTTCATTATTTTTACATTTACAGACTTTATCTTGCTTGATTCAAATATCATTTGTGTTATTTCATTTAGTTCTCCAAAAAAGAAATTGCGACGCCATCAAAATCTAGAGGCGTTTCGAAGGTTCTAGGCACGGATGGCGGTATAGTTCGATTTGACGGGGGAAGGGCAAGTTTGAGGTTGCCGTCGTCGAGTCGTAACGTACCAAAATCCGAACCTATGGATTTAATAAGGGAGAACCAGGCTTTGCACGAGCGCCTGCGGGATGAGTCGGCTCGTTATGAAAGACGTTTAGATACATATAAATTGGCACAACAGAGACAAGCTGTACTTGTCAGCAGATTACAAGCAAAGGTTATTATTTTGACTGAGTTCTTAAATTTATACTATTTATTTATGTATTCTAGAAAATGTTATAGGTAATGCAGTACAGGGAGCGGTGTACTGAGCTCGAAAGAGAAATGCGTAGCAGTATTCCTGCCATCGATAATGTTAGAAACTATCGCGACTCTATTAGAGATTATCAGTCATTAGATTTGGATTCAGCTCTACGAGCTCTCGAACAAGAAAGAACAAAGTAAATATTGTTAAGACATAAAGAAAAAAATTATTTATTAATTTAGTGCTGAATTAATTGATTCCTAATATTGTACAAAATAAATGTTTTATAAAAAAATATTTACTTATTAATGATTAAGCCATTTTACACTGAGTCTAACTAATTATTGCTATAACATTAAATATGTATATAATTATCAATCTATCAATACATAATTAAAACCTCACATAAACTGAATATCTAGATTAACTTACAAAATTACTTTGCACTTTCATTAATGAAATCGATTATGTTTTAGATCCGAGAAAATTATGGAATTGAATTCTACTCTTAGAGAACAATTAGATGATGCTCAGACAAGTAATGAAACCTTAACAGCTGATTTACAAAAACTAACGAGTGACTGGGAAAAAATGAGAGATGAAATGAATGCTAAAGAAGATGAATGGAAAGAAGAAGAACAAATGTTTAATGATTACTGCTCTTTGGAACATGGAAGAATGATGAACCTCTGGCAAGATGTTGCTCAAGTGAAACGTATGTTTAATGAAATGAAATCATCAACTCAGCAAGATCTGAATAAATTACGAGGTGAGCTTTCATTAGCATCAAATGAAATGGTGAATACATGTAGTGGAATTGTTAATACTGTTAAACGATCAACATATTCTGAGGTAAATTTTTATTTAAAAGAACTCATTATAATACAAATAATCTAATAACAATTATTTTGTTTTTAGGAAAAGCAATATGAACAAATTGTAAAAGAAAATAATACATTACAAAATAAATTGGAGCGGTTACAGCACGATTATGATAATTTAAGCTCTCAATTAAGACAAAAAGAAATGCACCTTGAAGACTTAAAAGCAAACCTTTCAGAAATTGTAAGAAATCTATAGTTCTTCTTAGAACTTTAAATTAAAATTATACTATTAGTTATGAGTATAATTTTTTACTCATATTTTAAAAATCTATTTTGTAGGAAGACAAATACAATGATGCTAATAAAAATGAACTAGATTCTAATAATTTACGCACGGATGTAAATGTATTAATGAATGGAATGCAAGAAATAATTAAAGTCCTTCAAAAGGATAAAGACATTTTTGGTGACTTTATTAAGCCTCCAGCTATTCCTCACTTTCATCTTAGTTCTGGAATAATTAAAACTGATCTAAATATTAAACCAGTAACAGCGACAAGCAGTTTTGTTGATAGTACATTATCAGCTGTGCAAGCTATTGTTTACAGATACCAAACAAATATCCATGAGCTGCAAGTTCAATTGTCATCTTGTGTTGACAAAATGTCAGAAACAAAAAAACATTGTGAACAGTTAGAAGTATTAGAAAAAGACTTACAAGTTAAAATTGATGAACTTGGAAAAGAATTAGATGAATGTCGTTCTATTAACTCTCGGCTAAATCATGAACGAGATTCACTGACTGAAACAATTGAGAGATTACGAAATGAAGCTCAATCATTGCAGAAAAATAGAATGCATGTTAGCGCTGTGGTAATTTTTTATTTCCTTATACTTGTATTGATAAAAAATTATTTCAATCCACTTATATGATATACTATACATGTAATTTTTAGGTTGAAAATATGAATGAAGATTATGATAAAGTACAAAAAACAAATGCTAAACTCCAAAAGTTGAATGATACATTAGAAGATGAAAAAATGTTCCAACAAGGAGAAATCGATAGACTTTTAAAAGAAATTGATTTAAGAATTTTATCAGAAAATGAAATTCAAGATAGGTGTAGTTGTTTGAAAGAAGAACTTATAAGTGTTAAAGAAGAATTAAATCAAGTTTATTTAGATAAAGATCTATTAGAACAACGTTGTCTTGAATTTGAAGTTTTACAAGCTAAAATGGAAAAAATTAAAGGTACATTATTGTTATTATTATTGTATAAAATTATTGATCTGTAAAGAGCTAGTTCTCTATGACAATATTTGATCATCTCAAGAATGGTTTTTGTTCATCATATTGAGGAGCGAGATATAGGTTTGTTACTATAATACTTAAATGATCACCTACCAAAGGCTAGTAGTAACTAGCCATATATCCTTTATTATAATGGTGTTATATTTTTAAATTTTTTAACATTATTTTTGTTATATTACAGGTGATTTAGAATCTGAAATAGAAAAACTCGCTTTGGATAGAACTGATTGTCAAGAATCACTGGCTAAAGCAGAATCATTAATCCTCGATGGGACAACTGAAAAACAAATATTACAAAAAGAACATGATAAACTATCTGAAGAAAAAAAAAATCTTCAAAGTCAAGTAGACGACTTATCTGGCGACTTGATTGCATTGCGTAAAGAAATATTACAAATGGAGCAAGACAAACAAGATTTAAATATTGCGTTAACAAATGCTACAGAGAAATGGAAAGCATTATCTTTAGATAAAGAAAAAGTAATTATTGTTTATGAATACATATTGTATTTCAAAAATTTTAAATAAATTTAATACCTTTAAATAAAAAACATTTTTTTTTGACATAATAATAATGTTATTGGTTTTTAGTAAAACTGTTTTATTTTTTTTTAAGTTATTTTCTTCTCTCAGTTATCGATCAGAGTATTAAAATTATAAGATTTCTAAAATTTTATTGTTTAAACATAAAAAATTATTTTGCTTTTAATTATTGTTCAATTATTTAATGTTATTGTTAAAAAATACTAAGAATATATTTAAAATTATACTTTAGCTAACTTTTACATGTTTGAATTATTATAGTTGGAGACAGAATTAGAAGACATTTTAAAAGACAGAACTCACATAGAAGATCAATTATCAAATGATAAGCATAAAAGAAAAGCACTTAATGAAGAAATTATAAGACTGAATCAAAAACTTGATCACACATTAGAAACTAATTCTAGATTAAATAATCAATTGCAAAACATATTTAAAGAAAATGAACAAAAACAGGTAAATAAATTTTTTTTATTAAGATTTATTTTTGTTAATATAAATTTCTATTCATAGTATTTATTATTTATAAATATTACAATGATTTATGTGTAACATACTACATGATCTTATTTATTTTAAGATTGCTCTTGATGGGTGTACAAAGCAGTTGCATAATACAGAAAAGCAACTGTCATCACTTCATGGAGAAAAAGAAAATCTTGAAGCTATTTTGTATGATATACAGAATAATTTAGAAGTATCAGAAAATAGATGTAAACAAATTGAGCGTGAAAAACAAGATTTATTAATAAAACAAGTAATAAATGTGTTTATTATAAAATACATTTAATTATTATATTTAATTTCTTTTTTAGGAAACAATGAGAGGTGAAATTCATCGATTATGTAAAGACATTGAAAGTTGTGAACAAATAGCGAATAATACAAAAGCTGAACTCCTACTTCAATATAGAACCTTAGAAACTGAATTTCAGCAAACAATTGATACATTAAAAAAGAAAGCTGAAGAAGATGTTTTAAAATTAATTAATGAAAAAGTAATGTTTAAAGTGTAATTTTAACAACACTATTGTAAAAATACCCAGTAGTAAAGTTGGAACCCAGTATAGATTAATATCTGACAATGATTAACTTCACTATCATAAAATGTTTTGATTGAAATGTGAAGAAGAAATTTTCATACCTATAGAGTATGCACTAAATCGTTTTAAAATCTTCCCTAGAAAAATGACAGTCATACAATAAAAAAAATTATCTGAATTTGTGATTTTTACACAAAAATTATACTTGATTCTTTAATTTAAACACCTATGTACAAGTAGGAAAAAAGTCTAGAGGTCAAATTTTTTTTTAATGTTGTACATTACATTACTTTTACCATAAGATATATTATAGATATCAGGATATCCAGAAAAATTAAAAAATTAAACTTTTTGTACAAAAGTTCTGTTTTAAATATAGCTTGTGGCCAGGTAATGATTTTGATAAAAAAAATTATAAAATAAAAAATATATAATGAAAAGAAAAGTATTTATAAATATATATATTTATAAATTATATGTACTTTGATTCATTAATTTTCTAAAAAATTATGATAATTTTAAGTAAAAATTTTAATTTTTAAATTTTTCTGTTTTTGAGGTATGAGGGATATTTTTTCAAATGTTGAATATGTCTTCAATAAATTATAGTTAATGACCTTTTTTGCATATTGTTGAACAAAATAGGTTCAGTAGGAACTGAGAACTTGTTAAAAAAAAAAACAGTAATATTAATATCTCAGATTTGCATAAAAACTAAAAACAGTTTAAAATCATTAATTTATTTTTAATGACATTTTGTGATTAATTTAAAAAAATAATATTAAAATGAATGCTAATGATTATTTTAGGAAGCTTTAAAAAATAATTATGAAAGAAAAATCCAGGACGATTTAAATCGATTAGGAAAAACAAAGGATAATGAAATTGAAAAACTTAAACAAAAACTGGATATATTACAAAAAAATATAGAAACTATAACTCAGCAGCATGATGAAGCTTTATTAAGAGCTGAAAATGAAAAACAGCAAACTCTATTATTAGGTAATGACACATATTTTACTTATTTTGTAAATTTTTATTCAAAATAAAATAAAAAATATTTTATTAATATTATGTTTAGTTCATAGAGATCAAAAAGCCATAATAAGTAAATTAGAAAATGTCAAAAAAGAATTGGAAGGAGAAAAAGAAGGCTATGAACGTTCACTAAGAGAAACTCGTGGCAAGCTAGAAAATGAAAAAGGAATAGTAATCTCGCTGCGTGAACAATTAGCTAAAATAAAAAATGAACTTAACGATATGAAAATGCAATCTGAAAGTGAAAAAAGACTTTTGATTGGCCAATTAGATGAAATTCAAGAAGATCGTGATAAAAATATTCAACAATGTATGGAGGTTAAATCTCAACTCGCTATAGCTGAAGATAAATTGGAAAACTTGCATTCTCATTTAAATGACACTAACCGTAGACTGAAAGAATGTAAGTATCTTCTTTATATTTCTGTTTATTAGTAGATTTACCTTGCAAAGATTTGAAATGTTAAATTTTGCTCTTAATATATTATTCTATAAACCTAGTTTTGACCAACTTATTTATAATCAAATTATTATGTTATTTTAAAAGAATTGCATTATAAATGATAATTTTTAATTCACCTAAAAAAAAGTGTGTTTATAGATTAGTAAGTATTTATTTTTAATTTTTAGAAAATAATAAAGTATATTTCTTTACTTTTAACATATATAAAAATTAAAAGGGCTTGATGCAATATATTTAAAAAAAAATGTTTGTTACTTATAAATACACTGGTCTACAAGGTACTTTTATCAGAATCAAAAATATAATTTTCTTATTATATTATTACTAATTAGAAAAAATGACTATTTACAAATAAAAAAATAATTAAAAACAAAAAAAATCTGTTTTCAAATTATAACTGATTTTTAATATTTTAAAAATAATCAGTGCAAAATGTTATTTTTAACCTATTTTTTGGTCTTTAAAAGTTGTAAGTTTGTGAAAGTCTATAGTAAAAAAAGTTGTATTTGTTACCATAACTTTTAGATCAAATTGCATGTTTGAAATTTAAATCATTAAATAGAACATTTTATGAGAATTCAAAATATTGTATTTTTAAGATTAATATGCATCAAGGAATTTTATAATTACTATTTTTTTTTTATCGTAAGAGATCACTAAACAGAAATCAAAGTAATCATTTCTAAGTAATTTTTTGTATTTAAAATGATTATATAATTGAAACATTCAGAACTTAGTTAATTTTTTTGATTTTCTTTAACTAAAAACCAATCAAATAGTTGTTTAAAATCTACATAATTCAGTGTATTATAAAATTTGTTTATAATTGTAAAAATCTATTGTTAAATTCAGGTGAAACTAAAAATTTTTTTTTAGAAATGATTAATATAACAATATGTTACCAAAAAAATTGGAATGTTATAGATTTGTTGTAATACACACAAATAGAGTTAAACAATTAATAAATTATAATGTAAAATTATTAAACTTTTACCCATTTACTGGAAATTTTTTCAACTTTTGGGGGTAATGTTTTCGACTAGGTACAATTTGTGATTTTTTCATGTATCATTGAAAGAAATTGGTTGGATAGAGCTGAGAAAAAGTGGTAACAGACACAAAAAAAACACATCATAGTAAAATAAATACCATCTGAGCTTCGCATCAAAGCTAAAATACTTCACAACCTATCTCATAGAAATTACTGTTGACAAAAAAAAAAGTTATTAACTTTTGTTATTTTAGTTTTGACTGTTAAACATTAAACAAATAAAAAGGGTAAACTTAAGATTTTAATAAAAACCTCTTAATTTTTTGTTTTTCATACATATCTTATTAGTGTTATGAAATGTATTCAATATGTTTAAAAATATTTATGCATAAAAAGGATTAGTATACTTTCATTATTATCAAGTTTGTAATTACTAGAAATTTTTAAACAAAAAATTAATAAGCAATGATTTATTTTTAGCGGAATCTGTTGCTGAACATATTCGAAAAGAATTAATGGAAACAAGAAGAAACTTGAATGAAATTAGTGTTGAAAAAGAAAAATATCTTACCTCTAATAAAGAGTTACGAGAAATCATCAAACGATCAGAGATTGATAAGCGTGAACAAGGGAGAACCTTGGAAGAAGCAATACAAAAGATTACATTATTAGATGAGAAGTATAATCAGGTTGAAAGTGAACGAATGCGACTAAACGCAGAATGTAAAGATGCTATTAAACGATTAGAAGAAACAGAAAAAACATGTAAAGCTCTTCAAGAAGATTTACAGCGTGCAGCTGTAACAGGTGAATCACGTAGAAATGAACAAAAACAATTGCAAACTAAATTGGATGCTGAATCAGAAGAACGAGAAAGAGCTTGTGAACATGTTCAACAACTCAAAAGAAAAGTATTTAATAATTTTACTGAAGAAAATTATTATTTTTATTTGTTTATATGTAATCATTATATTTTTAGGTTAATGAGTTGGAAGGAATATTAGATGGTTATGAACAAGAAGTTATGAGATTGCGTCATCGTATTGATGAAGATGAAATGCGATGGAAAACCCGTGAACAAGAATTACTTGATCGTCTTGAAGATGAAGTAAGTCATGAACGTAAACTAGAAGACCAAAAACACAATCTTGAAGTTTGTTTATCAGACCAAAGTTCACAAATTCAAGATTTAAAATGTAAATTAGGGACAGCTGAAAGTCGGTTAAGGTCAACTGATACACAATTAACTGACCTGGAACGAAATAAAAAAGATGTAGAAAATAGATTAAGTACAATTTGGTCTACTTTAAAACGTGTTACCGGTATGCAAGCAGATGGTTCTGTTAGAATTAGAAAGTGGAGTCCTAGCAGAAGTAAATATTTTTTAATACAATGATACTAATGTGATATTAGTATCTTAACAATGGTTTATATAATTTTAGTGCTAGATGGTACTTCTGAACCCATTCATTCTGATGGAAAAATAATAGACCCTGAAGTAATTAAAAAAGGAGCTCGAAATCTCATGCAACAGGTAGCTCAAGTAGAACGTGAAAAAGATGATTATAAATCTCAAATTGAGACCATGGGCAAACAACTTGAAGAAATAGAGGACATCCATAAAAAAACTGACACTAAGTTAAATTCAACAATTCAAGTTCTAAGAAGACTCCAAGATGATAAAGTTGATTTAGAATCAAAATTAAGCCAAAAACAATCATTGGTTTCTTCTCAGGTAAATTTTTAAATATTGTAAAATAGTATTATCATATGTAGACTTAATCTATGATGTATTAGGCAGCTGAAATAAAAGACAAAAGTGATGAATTAAAAAAGAATAAAGAAATCTTAAACAATCAAGAGACAATAATATATGCTGATCAAAATGAAAAAATGAAATTAAAAGAACGTCTTGAAAAGCTTAAAGTTCATTTGAGTCAATTAGAGACTGAAAAAATACATTTGCAAGATGAATTAACTCGTACTGAATCTAAAGCAACAAAATTAGAAATAATTAGAATTGGATTAGATGGAGATTTGCAGCGTTTACAAATGATGCTGCAAGAAAAGGACAGTGTTATAGAAGTAATAAATATGACAGTTTTACCATAAATTAATTTTGTAATTCATTGATTTTTTTAGAAACTTGAAGAAAAATGTGAAAATCATTCTAAAGCAGCTTCTACACTTGAGGAAAGATGTGCTTCACTAAATGCTGCCATTGAGCGTCTAAATACTTCATTAGCACAAGCTTCAGTTAATGAATGTGATTTAAAAGCTCAAATTCAAGCACTTCAAAGATCACTACATGATGCTTCTATTAGCTCTGTACAACATAGTGATAAATATAAACAAGTTAGTTAAATATTATGATTGTCAACATTTTCATTGAGTTGTAATTAGTTAAACTAATAAATGTTTGTATATTTTAGCTACAAAGAGCATTACAAACTTGTGAAAATGAAAAAAAAATTGCTCTTGAACGTTTAGACATTGCTCAACATAACTTAGCTGATTGTCGGCGTGATCAGCTATCAGTTAATGAGTCTATTTTGAAACTACAAATGGACTTAGAAAACAAAGAAGTACAAAAATCTCACTTAGAAGCCCAGCTCAGAGCTTTGGGAAACAAATCACTGCCTAGACTCTCAAACAAAGATGTATTTGATGAGAGTACTGATCTTAAAATAAAACTTCAGTCACTCAATGATAAGGTATTTAACCTTTTATTAATTGATAAAATATTTTTAAAAATTGTTATATCATACAGTTATTTTTTTTTGAAATTCTTTTTTTTTTAGGTTTATTTACTAGAATCTGAAAAACGCAGTTTGGAAAAAAAAGCTCTCTCAAGAAGTAAAAGTTTTGAAAGAGTTGATCATGATGGAAAATATGTTCATGGTAGTCCTTTTTATGTTGAACATCGAGAATTGAAAACTAAATGTGAAGATTTAGAAAAAAAATTATATGAAAAGGAGCAAGAGTTAAAAAATATGAAAATATCCTCTATAGATTACTGGTACACAATTTATTGATTATAGTATATGAAATTTGACTTCTTTATTATTCACTTATTATTATTTTTATGGCAGCTCCACAATTCCTGTAAAATATACAGATTTGGAGCGTTATCGTGCAGGACAGTTACAAGCTGAAAGAATGTTGGAAGCACGAGAGCAATCACATAGACAACAAATACATAGATTAGAAAATCAAGTAAATAATTGTGTTAATTAAAAAAAATTGAAACATTTTTATAATTTTTTTCATTATCTAGGTTGCTTTATTGAGGGATCAGTTGGCAGAAGAAACTAAGAGACGTCAAGCATATATTAATAAAACTGCCAAAGCAAGTCGTGAGGCAATGGCATTACGACAAGCTCTTGATAAGTCTTTGACTAAAATAGCTCAAGATCCATCACCAGATGCTACATTATTAAAACATGAAGCACATACTCTGCACCATGCAATTCCACTACCTAAATAATTATTAAAAAATTATTTTGCAAATTATATGATAATTAATGATTATAATTTACTTACTAAAAAAGCACAATTAAAACTATACATATTTTTATAATTTTTTATTATATATTAAGTTATTTAGATAGTTAAAATTTTATTGTAGAAAATTGTTAATTTATTATTTGATTTATATAAATTATTTATTCAGTTAATATTAATAGTTTATAACATTATAATAAACTCTAGTAGTAAAAAAAAAATTCTGTCAATATGATTTTAATTGCTTGTTCATTCTCATGCAAAAAATTTAATGATAGTTAATGATTGGTGAATTTTTGAAAAAAAATATATACATGCGTGGTCACATTTTAAACTTTCCTGTACAAAGGCTTTCATTGAATTTTTACAGATGACATATCAAAAGAAATCTCATTGTATACTTTATTCAAATTTTTATAGGATCAGTATTTTAGAGTCATAGCAATTTTAAAATATTAACAATTTTTTTGTAAATGCCTTTTTTAAGGTAGCGTAATTTTATATTTTTTTAAATTTCAAAAATTTTAATATTTATCAATTTGGGTTTTTTGACATATAGATCATCAAAATCAGTCCGCTAAGACCTGAGAATTTTATGAGCAATCACAAAAAAAATACACATCTTGATCAAATTAATAACTTTTCATTTTTTCATCAAAGCTAAAAGATGTAAATGTTTGAAAAAAATGAACATTTTAAACTTTTTGAAAGACCTATAACTTCTTAAGAATGGGAACACAAAGGCGTATTTACGTATAGGACATCCTACAATATCTATAGTTATTTTTTTATTGCTTATAGTAATTATTGGTGAATTCCTAGCTAATTTTGAAGCTGAGTTCTTATTACTCTTCTATTTTCCGAATATAGGCGAATACCATATATTTGTCTATTAGTACTAGTAGACAAATATTACTGTTCCAATAACTCTTCTAGTTATAAAAATTAGTATCATAGTAATCATAGATAGTCATCTAATATCAGTTACCACTTTATTTTAAATTAAACGTTTTTATGATTTTATATGCGCAATAAATTGACTGTGAGGTGTTACTTATTTTATGGGTAAAGTAATATGTCATAAGCCTAAATTCTACCAAAACGTTAAAAAGAATAATTTTTTTCTATGTTCTAATTGTAAAAAAAATAAATAAAAATCTAAAAGTCATTCATTGAAAATGTTTTTTTTACATACAATCTATTTTAATGGTTTAAATATAGAAGGTAAATTATTAATAATTATGTCTTTATGAAACACATACATATATAATAGTCAAAAGTTTATCCTAGTCTAGCATAATCTGAAATGACACTCCTGGTATTGATGCTAAAAGTACTCTTAATGTGAAATATAAAAAAAAATGTGTATAAGTCGTCATTTAAATTAGAGTTCAAAAAAAACTAGCCAACACTGAGTGGAATATTTATGAGATATTATACAGTATTTTTAAGACAACAATTATTTTGTTCGTCTAATAATGAGAGACGAGTTAATAGTTCGTTGTACATTTGGCAAAATTATAATTCTTAATATACTTGAAAATTTTCCAATAAAAACTTAATAGTAGAGCTTTGTAGTCTACTGTGAAAAAATATATTTTATTTGGCAAACTTAAATTTATTAAATATCACTCATCATAAGCTCGCTTCCAGTAAATATTTTTTTTGTTGGTTGAGCTTTCATTATATTATTCTACTATGCAAGACTCACATGTTTTATAAAACGTACTTTTTTTAATAAATTTGCAATATAATGTTTAGTTGTTGATCTTTTTTTTTTTTTGAAGAGGGAGAGCATTCCTTTTTTTGTGTTCTTGGTATCTGATCATAAACTATGGTTGACACAATCTAGAAAGATTTGAAGAAGTTTAGCCTCACAAATTTTATCAGTCTCTCTCCCCAAAAATAATCAAAAGATCACACTATGAATTCATTGAAATTAAAAACACAAACTCGTAGATAGCGCGCACTTACTTCGATGTCCGTCCACTCACCTTCCCATCATCAGTCGGTCATGGGTGGCATTGGCCGGTTATCACTGCCCGTCGACACGTGTGTAAATAGTTTAAATTTTGTCTCTTGTACGAATTAGTAAAAAAAATATATTCACGTTGTGCTAAAGTAAAATTTGTTTAAAGTTTTGTTTATGTAGCAAGCAACACTTTAGCCTAAGTAATATTATATTATATGAGTTGTATATTTTGATAATTAGTTTTAATGAAGTTATTTAAATTACAGGGATGATGTTTGTAACTTTGGTATTTTATACTGTGTAATTATTTATAAATTGTTGAAGACTATTCATCGTTTAGTTATGTTGTCGGTTTACCATAGGTAATAATCATATTTTTTTGCTTGTTATTATATATTCCAGACGGTTGGATTAATGAAATTGTTGAAGTCACACATAAAATAATTTTAGTGTATATTAATTATAGATCTGCTACTAATTATTTATATTGAACATTCTTTGTATTTGTATTTATGTGTATTTACTCAAAATCACATTTGGTGATATTGATTTATATTTAATGGCATTTGTATGAATTGTTTGTATTGATTTGAAAATTAGACAAACATAAACAATGAGTTTTCAAATGATCCAAGTTAATATATTAAGAAATCATGAGATTTACACAACCCGTATTACACTTACTCTGGTACGTTAATGTACTGAGATAAATATGAAATTACATGACAAAATGAATATTTGATCATGTACAAAACACAATATTAAATTTCACACAATACTTATAAGTATTAAATATCGCATGAGTAATTATAATGATTCTTATTCTAACAGGGCTACAAGCATAAACTTAACAGTCTTAACCATAATATAGATATCACTACTTTGATAGTCATATATAAATTTTTTTTTTTTTTTTGGGAAAAAGAGAAAGGTATTCTAGAATTTGGTCCATTTTCACAGTTATGTTTTTGTGGAATATACAAAAATAAATGATAAATAAATAAATATAAATGATCATTTATAATTAAAATAAATGAATAATGGATTATTCATGTAATTTATCATATTATATATATTGAAAAATTAGCCAATGCTGCAAAAATTAGTTAACGAAATGATATTCAATTTCTTTTTTAACATGCTTATATTAGTTTCACTTGTATGTTGTGTGTTGTGGGCAGAGCCTGATTTACCAATTATATGGCCCAGGATAAAATAAAAAAATTGGCCCTATAAATTATATATGTAAATAAAGAATAAATATACACTAATACAATATGAATATCACAATTATACTTTATTGTTTAAAGCACTTGCGAATAAATGAAATTAAAAAATTATAAAATACGATTATTTGTAATAAATTATTGAAAAAAAATTTTTTCGGCCTTTCGTTTGGAAAGTACATCTGTAATTTCATTAAAATCAATACCTGCCGTGACACCGCTTTAAGGAACTACTTTAGGAAAGTATTCTCTTAATGCGTCCAATTTTTCTTGACCCTAATGCATTTTTTATTCCTTTCAGAAATGAAAATGATCTTTCACTCGAACAATTTTAAAAAAAATTTTATCTCAACAAAATAATATATTACATGGTCAGTCACCGGTGGGCCCAGGACAAATGTCTATTTTGTCCGTGCGTAAATATGGCCCTGGTTGTGGGTTTGTTTGTAATGCGTCTTACGTATACAGAGTGTTCAGTAAGTCAGGAAACGGGTTTCTATTCATTGTTTGTAACAATGAGAACAATAGAAACCCGTATCCTGACTTACTGAACACTCTGTATATATATTTATATATTCCTACCGCCGCTGCCGCCGTTTATACCTTAGGTATAACGTTCGCCCCGTCCAAAAAACATGGCTATACCTAGTGCATGATACGTTTACTTACTTATGTCGCCTTACTATATTTATGTATGTGTATAATATATTCCTACAGCTGCCGCATATGCCTCGCGTACAACGTTCCCCCGCATGTAAATTTTGTTTAAATTTTATATAAGTGTAATAATAACACGGTATTTAAAGATACTTAAGGAGTACACCTAAATATATTTAAATCATATTAGGTAATTTATTAATTTTTTTTTTTTTATTTCAAGTATCTAATAAAAATTATTGAATAGGATATATAAAAAAATTAGTATTTTATGATAGAAAAGTTCATTTATTATTATTTTCATTAATAACTTTTTTTATTTCCCTTTTTTTTTTTTGGAGGGAAAAAAATTTTATCATTGTAGTATACCTTACCATAATAATCATTTTCTTTGTGGTTGGGCATTTTCCTACAGTTTTTACACACAGTAACAATTTTTTTGTTAAAGGTTGGGTTTGGTACTCCTAGCGAAATCAGTGGCTACTTGTAAAGGCAGGCCGAAGGGCCTAACGCGTCATAGATACATGAAACCCACAGGGCATCGTGTCTGGAACAAAGCCTCAGCTTGGCGAAGCCTAGTAGCTAAATAAAAAATTATAGTTTATAAACTAACTTGTGATGATTCGTCAATCTTTTATTAATTGTAATTCAAATAGATATTACTTAATTGTTAAATTAAGGCTTCTAATGAATAACTATTCATAATCTACAATTAAGGTATCGTTGTGTTCTACATGGATGGCAAGGTTATATTGTCAGTTCCTAATGACCAGTACTGGAACACATGTGAATTTCGCCAGTTTCTATTTTATATGGTATAAATATAATAAAAAAACATTTATCAAGAAAACACAGTTATTTTTTACATTTTTACTATTAAAGACAATGCGTTGAACTGGGTGTTCTAAGTCCATGTTCGATCACGTAGAAAAGTGTTATCAGGAGAGTCAAAATAATAACAATTAACAAACATTCATTGATTGAACACTGACTGCTGAATCAGTAGTCTGATCCCTTTTTATTAGGAATAATGTCATTAACTATTAAGGAAATAATTTGCATAAAATTTACAATATTAATGGTTATTTTCTAAATATTAGTATAATACTTTTTAGTGTTACAATGAATTCCTTATAACTAATATTTATAAAACAATTATGGGTTCACGACAACAATCCAACCATGCAAGGATATAGATGACAATTCGAGATTGTATTTGTTACATACATCAGTTTCGTTTGGTCGGATAACATTTTATCTTATGTATATCCCCGCCAAACACAACCCTAACTACATCACTACACCGTATTGTGTGGTATACGGGACACGTGCCTCATTGTGATAGGAAAAATAACAGTAACAATGATTTATAACAGTTACTGCTTGTGTAGCAATAACAAATTGTTACTTCGAAGAAATAGTAACAGTTGATGTTATTTTGTGTTTTACCCAAGGTGAGTAAATATGTCAAATTCGCCTCCATACCAAGTATTTTCAGGGTAAAACCACTAAAAGCTAACTAATATTAAGTAATAAATTACTAGGTATAGTAATATGTATGTAGTTGTTACTTAGTTAAGTTTAAACATTGGATATAATTGAAATTGTTAGGGAATTAATTATTTAAATTTTAGCTGATTGTAAATTGATTCTTTTCGTCCGAGAATATAGAATTAAAGATTTTTATATATTTTTATACAGCTATCTACGACACAATCCTTTAATTTACAGAAATCTGTCAGTTTACAATTATAGTTATAGACAGGGATTTTTTATTCTCTTCTTAACTATACAGGGTGTTCAGTAAGTCAGGAAACGGGTTTCTATTGTTCTCATTGTTACAATCAATGAGAACAANACTATATACAGGGTGTTCAGTAAGTCAGGAAACGGGTTTCTATTGTTCTCATTGTTACAATCAATGAGAACAATAGAAACCCGTTTCCTGACTTACTGAACACCCTGTATATAGTCATTAAGAGAATAAAAAAATTTAAATATAACTTAATCAATATTGGTATGCTTTCTTCTTTGAAGAGTATTTATAGTTACTATGTGTCGATAACTAAATTTATTAACCAAAATAATACACAGCACGTTATTTTCCACTTATCCCCTCTTACAAAAAAAAAACAACTGTTGATCAACATTATGCAGCATGTGCTATTATCCATCAGTTCTGTTAGTGTCCCATTGACAAGTTTACGTTAACGTAATCTATATTAACTTAGTGTATTTTGTGTATTTATTATCATTTGTCAATAATCATTTAAAAAAGATAATTTTATTTTAACATAAAATCTAATCTTTGAAATCTATATTTAAAAGAAAAATGTTGTGATATCAATTTTAATAATTTTGTAACATTAATATTATACCGGCATTTTTAATGGGTATTGTATGAATTGCTATGCACTCATTTTATTTACTTTAAAAACTAGATACAATATAAGTACGTTATATTTAATCTTTCTAAAAAATTATTGCGGAAATTATAAAAAAATAATGCTTTTACTAAAGTTGTCTTAGAAGCCTTTATTTTGAGAGAAAGGGGCTCTACATTTTAAAACAAATGTTCTACAAGTGTATTTTTTTCTAATAAACAAAATAAACCCGCCGTTTACGTGATAAATTATGAACCCATCCCCGTTAGGATCTTTCTATGTAATTTTATTAAATGTTTGTTATCTAATCGTTTTACTTATTTCAGTTTATGACCTAGTAGTTTCCTAGTATTTGTTGGTAGATAATCCTAACGGTTTATTATAAAATATTTTATTTAATCGTTCTTTTCTTTCTGAAATATTTTAAGTGAAATGTAAAATCAACCAGTTTGGATTTAAAACCCAATTCAGTTTCTATTCAACCAAGAATATCTATGAACAGTTATTTTATCAACTCTATGTTCCTTTGTAAAGGTGCGTATATCGCTTAGAGTAATATATTAAAATTTATGATATTGCACATTTTGATATAATTCAATATAGTTTAGTATTATACATATAAGTATGCAAGTCACTCGAATTAAATTTGACTGAAACGTAGTATAAATAATAAAAATATATTAATACACAATGTAATTATTATGGGAACTTTGAAATCGTTTATCTTAAAATATTTTTGTACGATATATAATACTGTAGTATTTATAGTGAGTTATAATTTGTATATATTAAAGTCTTTATAGACAATAAAATTTCCAACAATGTATTGTCTATTGTTTATTTTTACAATATAGAAATTAAATTTTCTCCCCAAAAAATCGAGAGAAATCTTTTAAACGAAGTCTTGATTATTGGTTTGGTATTAAACTTATCAAGTTAGACTGGAACATAATTAACAGGCATAAAGCCTGTTGGCCCCTGCCGTCCTCAAGTCTCCGAATGGAGAATTGGCGCCGCATGTAGAACTAATCACGGTCCGTATGACCATCGGCGGTATGCGAGATGCCCCTCAGGGTAGCCCTCGTCGGGCAGTCTTAGGCCGAGTCCTGATAGAGTGAACATCCTGTAGTCTGAGGATTCTTGACGAGGGTCCTCAGTGCTACAAGTGTTTGGAACGCGGACACATCGCTAACGTATGTATGGCACCGGATAGGCCTAAGGCCTGTTACAGGTGCAGAAAGGAGGGGCATCTATCTAAAAATGGCCCCAGCAGGAAAGAAGGTCGGGACTTAAACCCAACCAATAGACGCGATGATGACCTACCCTCACCTCCTCGTGATCCAACCCGGCTAACGGGGGAGGCAATGCCACGTTGTGATTCGGCTCTAGATTAAGTTCGGGCCGTGTCACAACGCGATAGCAAGAAGATTTATAAAGGACGTGGGCCGTCCTGAAGCAATGCCTCACGGCAGTACACATCAAGTCGATTATAACGTTACAAGTCGCGTGGGGGTAAATATGATGACCCATTTCAATTTTGATGAATATTTTAAGTCTTACATTTTTTTTTTTCGAAGGTATATATTTATGAAAATCGATTCAATATTGCTATAAAAACTATGTTCTAAATTTATATCTATGTACAATTTTTATGTAATATAATACATCCGTTTTTATTTATGTATGCTAGACCCCCACGCGACTGTTTAAAGGTTAAAACTATTCGATAGCTTAAAATATTCAAAAATGCCCATCACTAGTAATTGTTAAATTAGTGTTTGAATAGGCATAGATGTAAAACCAGGAAAATTTTTAATAATATTTTACTATAAAATAAATTAATATTTTATCTTAATATACATTTTTGTGGTTGATAATAACTTGGCTTCCATATATCTGTGGATATAATTATTTAGTACCCTCAGAAATTTTTGTCCAGTTGCGCATGATTACCAACTGACGCGTATATTAAAGAAGTTCAAGACTTCAATCCATTATTATCATTTCTTTACGCATAATAAAATTAATTTGAAAATTATGGGGGAATTTATGTATTCAACCTTTTCCTTAAATAATCTATATTTACGCATCTGATGACCACTATTTGATTCATATAATTGTTTTTTTTTTTTTTTGACCACGTGAAAGATGTTAATTTTAACTTTAACATTGTCTTTATAAGAAAAACAAACGTATAATTATATTTTCAACAAAAGTAGCAATAAATAAAATAATAAAATAAACATTAATCAAATTATTAATATTTTCACTAAAAAGTATAATTTGTTAATATATTTATATTAGATAATTATTTATTTTTCTAAAAACGAATCAATTTCTACTCTCATAAAAAAATCTAGTTAATAATTTTATTGCTATCATGTGAATTATGTACAAGGAAAAATCTAAAATATACAAGATAATTTTCCTAAAGTACAAAAGTGCAACATGGTAAGTATATTATACATGGTATTTTAAATTTTTTTATTTTTATAACAATAATAAAATCAATGTTATCATTCATAATTCTATTATAAAATGTGTTTTAAGAAATGTATTGTTATACTTGAGATATTGCATTAATGTTTTATTATTATAGCATGTTAAAAATGACCATATTGAAAATCATACTACTTTTAATTTCTGTGTACAAAATCACTTGTTTTAACGATTGCATTTACAATTTAAAATTAAATGGTGAAGATCTTCAGTTTGATTTATCGAGGTACCTTTTTTTTATTATTAAAAATTCTTAAAATACATTTTGAATAACATTTTTTACTAATTAAAATTTATTCAACAAAAATGAGATATGCAATAATAATATTAAGTTTTTGAAAAACTGCACTGTATATTTTCATACTATACATTTGTTAATTGTAGTTAGTTAATTTAATTTAGTTTTTAATTAAAAAATGGAGAAACTGTTTATGGAATCATACCTGAAAACCAAAACATAACTCTTGGTTTAAGGCTCCAGGCCTTTTCCTAAGTTTTGTTGCATGTTCGCAATGTAGGCTCTTGCCTCAATATATGATTTCAACTTAGCTAATTGTCTATGATAATATCTATGTATTTCACCTATGACTTATAGCCATTTTCTTGTCTATTCAGAATAAGTTCCAAGACTGTCAATTACTTTTCTTTTTCTGTTTTTACAACTTATGTGGATGACTTATCCACATAAGCTTGTGTATAACAATATTTGTTTAACTCTTTTAATAAGTGAGTCTAAAAATAAACACCATAGCAAGGGGGATAGAACCCGGCCTTGTGATCATCATTGTTTAACACTCTTAATTACTTTGGTTTCGTTGAGCTGTCCTAAGGTGGAACATTTTTAAAGCATGGTTTCTATCCCCTTAATAAGTGGTTTTATTCCTTGCTGTGTAGATTCATGCATAGCATTAAAAGGTGTATTGTAAAAAATCATTTTAATATACACGAAAATACTTGCCATGTATATTTTATCTTCAACAGCTTTTCCCATTTTGGTGGTTGTTGTACGTATGTTTAATATAATTTTTTTCTATTTAAAGATTAAATGAAACTAGGAGTGTGAATTTTACAATCTCAGAAAGTGATTATTCTGTTAAGATAAGCCTTTGTTCAGCTGAAGAACAAAAAACAAAATGTGATGGTATTTATTCAATCATATGTTTGGTTGAAAAAAAAAAAAAGTTCACCAGTATTGGATCGAAAATTAAAGGTTTTTAAATAACAATTTTTTAATTATAAAAAAGCATTTCATTGTCAATTTCATAGAAAATTCACCTCAAATTTTTGACAAATATTAAATACTTACAAAAACAAAACTTTTTTGAAAAATATTTTAGCGGGTAATAGATTTATTTACTTAGTTTTTTCTGAAAGTTAATAAATTAAATAACTAAATAATCCAATCATCTTGATGTAAGTTGAGACTCTGATTAAAGAGGGGCCAAAAGACAAACACCACAAAGTCCATCACAAATATTACCTGCCTGTCATGATTAGTGACTTACAGTGTTTTTTCTCATTACTTTTTTGTGGTAGTGAAATTTTCCATAAGGGTGATTCATTACAAGGTAAGGGTACCTAGATATATATATTATATATATATATATATTATATAGATATTATTATTTGATTTTTTTTTTTATTATAAATAAATATTATAGGAAATATGCAGTTGTTCAAATTTTAGTTATTTAAAAAACAAAGAGTTAAATTTTTTAAATATATTTTTTAGATGTAAAATTAAATTCTAAAAATCAATTATTTATGTCTTTGGAAAGTTATAAAAATTGTGCAGATAATCAAAAATTTACAACAGAAGTAACTTTCATATGTGATAAAAATGTGAGTACCTTGAGCTGTTATTTAAGAACTTATCAATAATTATTGCCTCTATATCCTATAAATCCATGGTTTCATTTTTTAGTCCTAAATATTTTGTTATTAATATGAATTATATTCAAAACCCTATGAGACATTCGTCATAAAAATGTTGTCAAAGATATTTTTTTTACTTTTTTTTTTTAATTCATCACTTTTTACTGGTACTTAACAATTCCCACCAGGGCTGAATTAAATCATGTTGAAATTTCAGATGGGCCCTTTCAATAAACATTCTCCTAAAAAGTAAAAAAAAAAACAAGCAAAGAGAAAAGGTCATAATTTTAAAAAAAATGAAATTCATTGGCCCATTTTATACAATCATATTTCCTTATCTATCTCTTAAATGTTAACATTATAATTACATAAAATTTGTAAAAAATTAGTCTATTAGTAAAAAAAAAAAAATTGTGCTATCATCACAGAAAAGCAATTTTTTTTATTTAGAACCTGAGAAAAACTCAAAACTATATTTAATATTGTAATAACTGTTCAACTAATAATTTTAGAATCGAGACAATATTCAGTATAGAAAAAACACAAACAAATGTAAATACGTTTTAGAATGGTGGACAGAAGCCGCTTGTCTAGTTGATGATTTAAATGTACGAAAAGTTTGTCAAAAGCCAATTCCATCCATTCACTATAAGTAAGATGAAATAATAAGCTTTTATTCTTAGTTATAATTTTTTTTTTCTAGGTTTAATTTAAATTCTTTAAGAAGAATTAAAGAAAATTATTTGGTTGAAAACGATGGTCGTCGTTTTCAGCTTAATATTTGTGGCCGCTTATTAAATGGTAATAAATGTGGTGGAAACATAACAACAATTTGTGATATAAGTGATGAAAATGCTTCTAAAGTATTTGCTGTTGGCCACTATAGTAATTCTGATATTGTGTATGATGAAATAAATAACAATTTGAAGTTGATTCAACATGAAAGGATATCTAAAAGAAAAAGCAAGCATCACATGTATTATTTATGAAGTTTACTTTTAAGTTTAATAATAAGGAGGAGTCAACCTTTTAAATATGATATGTACTATTTTTTACAATATTATTTTTATTGAATTTTTAAGGTTATATTACTTAAAAAAAAAAAATCTTTAGAATTATTGATGAAATTTTTTAGTCTGATACATATTTCAGTTTTTCAAACGTTAATTTCTACAAAAAAAGAATTGAAGGGCTCCTAAACCCTGACACTAAAGTTATAAGTCGTATATTATACATATTTTGTATACTTTACACAATTATGTATTTTGCATATTTTATAAAACACATTATGTAAAATGATGTGAATAAGACAAATCTTTCAGTTTATTTGGGATAGGTAAACGAACTTACTGATTCTAAATTTGTATTTAGCATAGTTTTTTTATATTGAAGTTTTATTTCTATCAACACACTAATAATAAAAAATAATAATGCGCATAAAAATGTGTAAAGTTTAAATTCATATGTTAATAATCTTTTTTTAAATTTTCATTTTAAAAACTTTGATTGTAGTATATTACCTGATTTGAAGCAAAATTGTCAAATTGTATTTTATATTGGGCAGGTATCATACCCAAATTAGTAATTAGGAAGATCTGGAGAAGTTATGACCATAAGTATTATGATTTAGGGGCCTTAAAGTTATTGTTAGTCATAACATAAAATATGAAACTTGTATGATATATTTGATACGGGTGTTGTATTTATTTATGAACTGGAACCCTTGTAATGTTTTAATGTTGGTTTAATAAGCTCTTCCAACTAATAGTTACAGTTTGTAAACATTATCATAACACCACTGAGGCCATTTTTGTAGAAATTAATTTTGATATAATGATATAGGTATCAAAGTAAAAAAGGTAGTTTTTCAGTAAAAGTAAGACTGTAGAAAAGACATGAATATTTTTATGTCTAGGCATTAAAGTAATGCATTTGAGAAATTACTAATTATAATTGAATTCACACATCCACACTACAAATTTATAATTTAAATGTTTGATAATTATTGAAATGTTGCTTAAAAAGTTGTTGACAACCATTTATTTTTTTAATTATAACATTTTTTAATATTTTAACTGAATATACAGGATATATTAAAGATACAACACTACTTAGAAACTATTGAAAATTAAACATTTTTTTAAGGGAAAATATTGTCTCAAAAATTACAATAATATGTAGTTATATAATTTTGTGTTTATTCCTTCAGAAATAAAAAGTCTAAACTTCAATTTTCTTTAATGGGAACCTTTATTTTTAGTTTAATTATATAGTAGAAAAAAACATCAAATTATTTTTTTCTTAAAATTTTTTTTATCTGATCAAACATTTACATTTTAAAATTATTTAAAGATTTGTATTAAAAATACAAATCCATCATTATTTTGGTTTTAATAATACCAGAAACAACAATACTCTGTTTCAATGGATCACAAATGATTTTTATAGTATATATTAAGAAAAATTTTCTATACCAGTTGTTCAACATATGCGATAGTCACTTGCATTGAATGTTTAAGAATGCATCTTATTAATAGACCTAAATCATTGAAAAATAGATTTATGTGTGATGGTAATATTGAGTTGTATCTGTTGCAAATGACGACTACAGTATGCAAAACAAATTATTAATAGAAAATTAGACAGAAATGACTAAATTTAAACAGTAATAATAGAAATTTATCTGATAAATAAAAAATGTTTTTATTTGAACCATTTAATAAAATATAGGGGTTTCTCATTAAAGAAAATTAAAGTATAGGCTTTTTATCCCAAATTATTCTAGTTTTTTGAACTAACAATATTGTCCTTTAAGAAAATTTATAATTTTCAATAGTTTCCAAGAAAATATCTTATTTCTAAAGGAATTTCTCTGTATATGTTCCTATTAAAAAAATGATTAACCTTATGTAGGTATAAGAAATGGATCTAAAAATATTCAGAATGACTCATAAATCAAGAAAAGTATATATTCCATAAAAAGCCATAAAAATCATTATCAATATTATTATTTAAAGAGAAATTAAATAAATGTAGATAAATTAATTACCCCACATACAACAAATTATTTATATTTAAAAATATGAATATAAAAATAAATGATTCCTATATCGAACATTCTAGTATACACTTCTAATTTAAGTAAAACTATGTATAATTTTGCAGAAAACAAAAGAATTGAGATTTTATTTAAATGTGATGAAAATATTCAACCTGAGAATGTTGTACCTAAATTTTTAAAACATGATATTACTCAAAATATTGCTCATTTTGAAGTTGTAACAGCAGCTGTCTGTGTTCCAAAAATGGAAGCTTGTGAGGTAATAAAGCTTTTAACATTGATTACACTTTTTTTTCAATAGTTTTTGTTGATTGAATTATTAAGACACTATTACAATTTTATTTTTGAATATTGTGATATAGTATTGCTGAAATTCAATACAATATTGATATCCAAAAGTACATTGTTTACGAACCTTATTTATAGTATGTGTTTGTAAAATAACATTTTCTGTCAAAATTTGATAGTCACTTAAGTTTTGTTTGGGCTTGCACCCCTAAGTTCTTTTATAAATATTCCTTTGATCATTCTTGTTTCTTACCAGTAAACTGTAAAATTAAGTTCAGTTCTTACTAGGCAGGGCCGAGATTATTGGAAAATTAGTCAATTGATTCTTGGAGACTTAGTGGTTGGGGGCTCCAATAATTTTTTATTTCTATAAGTCATAAAATCGAGGTAAGAGAGATACATCTTATAATACTAACTTTGGAGCTTTCAATCGTTAAATTCTCTATAAATTTACACATAAAATGTTGATGTAACTTTATGAATTTAAACTTTACAATGTAATACATACAAAATTATAAAAATTAGTCTAAAAATGTTTACAATAAAGTTGTTTAGACTTATTGTAACTTAAGACTCAATTTATTCTGATTATTTGAGTTAAAAACAGTAATATTTTTTATATACTTAATTTAATAGGAAATTAATTTTTAATATTTTATAGGTTTTTACGTCCACATCTAATTTCAATTTAAAACCTCTTCATAAAAGATTTGGCAATTGGATTATTCCAAATGAAAAATTTGGAGGAAATTTTTATATAAATGTTTGTGATTCTTTGAATACATATGATCAAAAAATTCCACTCAAATGCATTGGTAATAGTATTTAAATTAAATTGTATATCGAGCCAGGGTTAATATTAGTTTATGGCCCTAAACTTCATCTCTATTTGTTATTTACTATGTTGATGAATAGGCGCTTCTAGAGATGTTATTTTACTCAGACTTAAGTTTCAAACTGTGTTCATAAAAACATTAAAAAAAAAAATTTTAATTAAATTTTTTTTTGTAGAAAATATTAAAACATCAGCTTGTTATGTCAATAAATTAGGAAATGTTTTTCCTATCGGATCTTATCAGTATGGGCCTCATTTAATCAATAATACATTACAAATAAATTTTACAAGTTTGTCTAATTTTAAATATAATTATTAGCAACTTTTATACCTACATATTTCTTAGATGGGGCCAGCTGTGGTAATTTAAAGTGGTCATCAGTTATAAATTTTGTGTGTTCACGTGAAAATGAAACACAAATACTTCACATTTCAACAAATGAATCATTATGTACAAATTTATTTTTGTGGAAAACGCCCAACGCTTGTCCAGTTTTGGTAAAATAAAGAAACTTATGTTAATTATTTTTTTATATTAATACAATCAAATAGTCTAATAATTTACAAATTTTCTTTTAGTTTAGAAAACAGGGCAAATGCATTGGATCACATCCGCACTTCTCTGGAATAATTTATAATATTACCAGTTTAAAGGGCAGTCAGTTTGAATATAATGATATTACAGACAATTCCATTTATCACCTGAGTATTTGTTCACCCCTTGATATTCCTTGTAATGGTTACACAGATTCTGGAGCTTGTTGGTCAATTGGTAACAAAGAAATTAATATTGGAATATCTACAGAAAATATCATTTCTGAAAGCGGTAAAGTTTCTTTGATAATGCATGGAGAATCATGTTTTCATAAAGGCCCAACTAGTATCACCATTATTAAATTTGTGTGTGATTATTTAAATTCACACAAAATTCACTTTTTAAAAAAAGTAATTTTTATATAATTTTAAGTTAACTATTTATGAAATATATTTATTTAACACTATAACAATGATTTTTTCAGGATCTATACAATTGTATATTTGAATTTAAACTATATACAAAAGATGTTTGTACCAATTCTTTGAAAAGTCAAAATTGTACTGTGAAAGATGATTTAGGAAATGTATATGATTTCAGTAGTTTAACAAAATTTGATCAAAATTATGAAGTAAATTTTGATGGTAAACGGAAAATAATTATTAATATATGTCATTCTATCATAAATAATGGAATTGATGGGGCCAATTGTCAACCAAGTAGTGGAATCTGTTTAGTAGATAATGAACAACTTTTAGATTCTAACAAGTAAGTCTTTCACTAAAATAATTTAATAATTACACAAATTTTACATGATTTACGTCACAATTTGTATAAATAAAATATATTAAATATTGATTAATAGATATAAGAATTTAGGCAATGTAGCTGAAAATCTACAAATAGAGAACAACAGTATTTTCATGGAAATGAAAAATGGTTTTTACAATGGTTTATACGTTTCTTCTAAAATTGAATTTCATTGTTCAAGTTTTAATGAGGTAACATTGATAAATTATATAGTAAATACAATATAGTAGCATATTAGTAAACAATTTATATATTTTATGGAATCTGTGTCACGGAAATATTTCCTGGGGGTTCAATAATTATTATTATTTGAACAGTTTAAGCTATGGAGGCAATTCCTCATAGGCCAGAGAGACAAAGATCCCTCCTCTAGATTCATAACACATATAACATAACAAGCTAATTTTTTTACTAAAAAAGTTGCTTCAAAAGGATATGTAAGAAAAAAAGTTATCAAAAATTAATTTTTATTTAAATTTAAAAAATTGTCCAAATCTCATTCCAAAAAAAATGTTATACATGTGCCTACTACGCAACTAATATTAATCAATGAACCTATTACATAACACCTCCTTTACTGTAACATTAATGAATTTATCATCAATATTTTAATTACTTGTAATAAGCCTAGAAATAAACAGACAATATATTTTACTCCCGTATCCATGAACCACACAAAGTTGACCTATTTCTCCCAAATAACACTTCTGATTTTTAGAACTCTGTTGGTAACAGTTATCACAAAATCCATTTTACATAGACAAAAAATCTAATTCAAGTTAAAATATTTGGTATCTAGGATTATATGTTATTTTGTAAATAACACAAAAAATTAAATGCAATGGCACTTCCAACCACCCTCTGAGCAAATTTGATCTGTGCTCTTAGTAAGAGATTGGTTCCCATCTTTCAAACAACAAGTTTTGTCATTTACTTTTTCTTTCTTTAATGAGTAATACAAAAATTTGTTATTACCATACATGTTATGACATAACCATAATGATTATGAGGGTAAATTTTATAATATTATTTTATTTTACTATGTCAGATTTGTTTTTGTCAATTGTGTTGATAATTAATTAGATTTTTTATTTGTATGTTGTGAATTCCTTATATTAAAAGTTAGTAACTCTCTATGTATTAAAAACTAATTTTTTGATTCTTTAAAAAAAATTAACATATTATTTTTGTTGTAAAAATTTTGTTAGGATCCAGTATTTTCAGGGAAAAGGAATGATACATTTTTTTTTCACTGGTCAACACCTTTAGCATGTCAAAAAAAAAGTAAAATTATAAGAGATATATTAATACAAGATAATTTAATAAATCAGCAAGTTTACAATCCAAATTATTCCATAAATATTGTTGGAACAAAATATGATATAATTGTTTGTCATAATAAATTTATTTCAAGTAGTGGCCATAATATTTTTAAAAATGGTAATAATTTCATGCTTATACAAATTTAATTTACAAAGTGTCCTTACTTGATATAACTGTTTTATAAAAATAATTGGAATCAAACATAAGGGGTAGTGGCAGGGTTCTATTGAAGTAAAATTTTACTGGAGGAAACCAAGGTAATTTAACTTATTGACTAAATGTTTAACATTTGATTTGATTGACAATAATATTTAAAAAATTCTTTTGGCAAACTGAGGTATTTTTATGGGGACAAGCTACCTGTATTTCCTTTTTAGTTAAAGTGATTATGCTACTAGTTAAAGGGTGAATCATCTGTTCCCTTCACAACAATTTTTGAAATTAGTATAATTATCAATTTTATCCCAGTTAGTAAATTTATTTACTAAATAAATATGTTTTTGTTTGCTCATTATATTTATCAATTAAGTAATAGGTTGCCAAATGTATAAACAATACTCCCCTTTGATATAACAATAGAAATTAGAACTCTGATCCTGCAAATAAAAAAGTAATTAGATTTATATAGTTGTACAAATAATTATTTAAATGGAAAATCTAGTAGGGCATTTTGTATAGTGCAAAAATAGTACACAAACTAATTTTCTGTATTTTTTAGATTTGTGTAATACAAATGATCCAACAATAAGAATATTTTTGAAAGTTAATAAAGAAATTTATAGTTATTATTTAGATCACAAATATCCTAGTATTATTCATGTTCATAATGACACTTCCAGTGGTTTAAATATTAGTGAAAAAATTTTGTTTAAATTTAAGTGTGGCTTTTTAGCTCTTACTCCAAGTATTTTAAAAGAAAAAACATTCATTAAAGTATTAATAATTGATCCAACATTTTGTGATAAAAAAGTAAGTATGTATTTATTGGGTATGTAATAATTCATAATTATTAAATTGGGCTTTTAAAAAAAATGTAAAAACTTCAACATTTTTATCTTTGATGCAAAGCTATAAAGTTAATTTTTTTCATATTGAATTAATTTTATATGAGTCTTAGAAGGTGATAAATACTGAGATTTTGAATTTGTGTGCATCTCAGTTTATTTATTGGGTAATATCAAACTTATTGAACATCCACTAAAATAAAATTCAGACTATATGAAAATGACTACATTTTCATATAATCTGTGATAATGTACCAAGTTATACTTATGAAATACTCTGTACATAGAAAATTATCGATTTTCACTTATAGAATACCTGTATAGAAAAATCCATAGAGGTTTTTCTTATAGCACCTATGGGGAATTATATATTACGTTTATTATAGTATTGAATAAATTATTTCATAGCATTCAAAACTACTATTGATTAAATCTCGCCCAAATCTTTTAAAATCTCTTCACTTATATATTGTATAATCTGTCCACAGATAAATAATTAGTAGGAATAAGTTTCAGATATTTCTTATATATTGTAAAACTTTGTATTGCCATAGAGTTCAAAAAAAACAATATTAATTACTAATTATTTAGAACACTAAGTCTTAATAATATTACATAAATTAAAATTTGTTTTTAGTAGCAAGTCGTGTGGCGAGAATTCATCATCATTTTGCTGTACATTTATTTTGACAATATCATTAATTTGTATTATTTTATCTGTTGTACATTTCTTTTTGAGTGTAATTTATTTGACTAGATATGACCTTTGATCTTTTGACATATTGTTGAAAGAAATCAGATTGGTGAGAGCTGAGAAAAAGTGGTAACAGACACACAAAAAAAAAACCACATCTTAGTAAAATAAATACCTTCTCAGCTTCATATCTAAGCTAAAAAATATATGATAGATTTTATTTCTATATACATTTATATTTTGTTTTCTGTAACATTTATTAAAGGTAATTTTTTTTTCAGCTAGAGTGTAAAATAGATAACTACGATGTAACAGCTCTTAAAAATACCTATGTCATAAAAAGTCAATTAATTACCTATTATATATACATGTGTTCCTATAGTTTTCAAGGAATTAGTGGATTAATGGAAATGAATAATAAAAATTATGTAAATTCAGTTATAATAATTATATATCTGTACATAACAAAATAAAAATTTTACTTGAAAGCAGTAATTTTTTATAAATTTTAGTACATTGCTTAATGGCACTTTAAATCAATAAAAAATACAAGTTGTACTTAGATTATCAAATTTAAAAATATTTAAAATAAATATTAATGTTTTATTACAAAAAATATTATCATATGATTAAAAAAGTTGTATATGGTATATGCATTACATTCAATCTTTTATTATTATGTTTAGAGTTTGGGACACCAAACTACAATCCCAAAAATTAATGATATTGGATTTTATGAAATATTATTTGATGATGGAGATAATTGTATGAAAGATAAATCAAATTTGAAATATTCTTCCAAAATTTTATTTGAATGTGATGATAGTGTTGCAAAAGTAAGTATATTGTTATTATAAACGGGTCCAGATTAAGGGAGTTGAAGGTCTTGGCTGTTTTAGAGCATTTAAAATTGAAAACTAATAAATATTATTTGTTAAATATATCAAACGGGGCATTTAATTTGCCAAAATAAATAAATTAATTAAATGAATTATAACTATCTTAGGGTTATCCACAATATGTTCAAAATAATAATTGTCAAGTTGAATTCATTTGGAGAACTAGTTTTGTATGTAATTTAAAGAAAGTTGAGTTTGAAAAGTCAACATGTTCAGCTATAGTTGATAAAGGTTATGATGAAAATATTATCAGTAAAAAAATGTTAAATATGAGTTTTCTAAATAGAAAAAAATTTAAAGTAAGTTCTAAAATTCACCAAGTTATTTTAATTAAATAGATATTCATGCTAAATTATTAATTTACTTAGGAGTATGGAGTACAATTTTGTAGCGATTCTTTATGTGAGAATAATTTTGAGTGCATAAGTTATATAGACTTAAATTATGATATTAATTACAAACTACTAATTGTCAAATTAATATTAAATAATAATAGTACAAGTAAGTATCTTAAATAGTAGTACATTTGAATAGTTTTTAATTGATAACATATATTTATTTTGTTAGATTATACAAATATAAGAATAATATTGGCTTGTCTAAATTCATCAACTTTAATAAATCCAATCATAAGCAAAGTATTTTTCACAAAAATATCTCTATTATATTCAAGACTTATTATTATATACTTTTTGTTTAGGGATTTTCATCATTAATCATTTATGACCATTCAGAACAAGTATGCTGCTTAGACTTAAATAGTAATATTAATTATGACAGTAAATGTAAATATCTTATAAATTTATGATATTAATTTTTGGTAAAACGAATTACTAAGACAAGAACTAATAAAAATTGGCTATTTTAAAGGTCTGAACAAAACTCATGAAAATATTTTTGATAAACAGTTAAAAATAAAACAAGGTAAAATAGACAAGTTTATATTACAAGATTTATTTTTACAAAAGATAATCAATAATATTAATAATAAATCTAGTAAATTAGACTCAAGTAATGGTATGTATAAAGATAAATTATTATAAGTTAATTATTGAAAACCATTTTTAAATTTTTGTTAGAAAAATCATTTCCATCAGATGCTAATATAATATCTACAGAGGAAATTGAAACAGAGAGCCATTTTTATAGAACAAGTTAAAGAAAATTCATTAAAATATACAGAGTGTTCCACCCGGGTTTTCATATCTAATAATTATTGATCCAGCGAATATTTGGCAATACTTTTTTTTTTATATAATTTTTACAGTTCATATTATGTTAAATGCGGTGGCACGATGGTCACACTAGTTGTTGACAAAACTCTAGTGTTAAGTCGAGCCTACCGCCGTAGGTGAACGGATGGGTGACCATGCATGCGCTTCTACGATGGTGAAAGAGCACCATGTTTTCAGTGCAGAAGGCAACATATTTTTTTTTATTTTTCTTTAATAAAATAAAAAATTTTTTATTTTAAAATTTCAAATCAGCTATTTTTAGCTCTTGTTTTACCTAAAATGTTGATGATTTGATAACAACTTTAATATTAGTATTTATTGAGTTATCAGTATTTTAGTATATGGATTGGGTATGAACCACTGGCAGAGTTCACTTATACCAGTACAAGCTGTACCTTCTCGTGCTACTTACCCTTGATGCATTAAAATGCTTGAGACTCAAAACAAATTCTAAAGTTGATGAAAAAAATTAAGAATTCAATTTTTATTAGTTATCAGTTAGGCTTAAACACTCTGTATATATATATATATTAATTTATTTGTAACAATTTAGTTTATCAATCTAATATTTTAATAGGTTGTACGTGGCTAATATTGTTCCTATTTTTTGTATTTTTAAATTGGTTGTATCGTTATAAAATATTAAAGTTAATCAGGATACTTTTACGACAACATACAATCAAGGTAATGTATACAATGTATAAAAAAATATATTTTAAATTCAAAGTATTTTTTTATTAAAAATTTAGAGAAGAGGCAGAAGATGGTCTAGTATATCTTATGAAGACTGAATTACTATTAAATTAAACATTTTTTTTAAATAGAAACTTATTTATTTATCTTATTTTCAGTTCCTTTAAAAGTTTTGTATTTCTTAATTTATGTTTCAATAAGTTATTGATTTTTATTTTTTAATTTATAGATTTTATTATATAAAATAAATATTAGATTATAATTGTCTTTTTCATTTAACCAACCTTATTCAAACACTTTTTAAACAAATTAATCAATAATATATGTATAATTTTTCTGAACTGAAATAATCAGTAAAATGTATGTAAACAATATATTGTCTAAATAAATAACAAATAAAATAAGATCTACTAACCAATAAATATTTTGAACCCGGCTGAAATAGAATAGATTATATCCCTCTTTTGACACTCATATAATAATGATTAGTTGTAAATACATAGATTTTTTAAATAATAATATAAAACTCAATTCTTTCTTTTTGTGATAAATGTATTAATGTAAAATTCAACAAGTGTTTATAATGCTTTTTGTTAAAAAAAATACTCAAAATAAATGAAAATTGCTACAGTAACTCGCAAATTGTGTGTGCTCACTGGCCAGCTGTGACACCTAAAACTCACTTAAAACTAATGAAATATATAAACTTCACTAATAAACAATTAGCGCTTAATTAAATAATTAAGTTTAAAAAAAAGTTCGGTTCAATTAGTGTAGTAACTTAACTACCAATTAAAAAATGACCTGGTATAAGTGCTTCATAGTCTGTAGGATCATTCGATACAGCGATTAACGGCTTAGAGATTAGGATGACTTCAATTCTACGCATCATTATGGATAATTCTTCGAATTTTAATAGAGCGCCTTTGATGACATTGTATAGATGTGACTTGACTTCTACTTCCCAAAAACCACTGAAATGGGTAGCCGACGGATGGATGAAATACCACATGACACCTTTTTCTGCCAAGTACTCGTCCACCGATTGTTGATCACTGACTTGTTTAAAATACTTCTTCAACTTAGCGTCTGCTCCAGTGACGTTTGTACCATTATCGCTATACAAATTAGTACAAAAACCACGACGCGACATGAAGCGATGTAAAGCTGTAATGAAAACATCAGTTATCAAAGAACTAACTACCTCAAAATGGACAGCTCAAGTAGCAAAACGAATGAAATCTGAAATATATGCTTTAATTAATACCACTTTTGATTGCTATGGTGCCACAAAAGTTAACACCAGGTGTACTGAATGGTTGATCGATAGTAACACATTGACGAGGTAATGGTGCCATGAGTGAAGCACTAAAATTTGGCTTGAACCGAAAACACATGACACAGTTATGAACCACACTTCGTGCAGTCGATATGCCATGAAGAGGCCAAAAGACTCGTGCATATGAGCGAGTAATCCTTGAGGTCCGATGTGGAACAGCTGTTTATGTCAGTATTCAAAGAACTACTTTACCATTTGATGGAAGTATAATGGGATACTTTGAGTTACATGGAAATATTGAATATGTCAGCCGACTTGCCACACGTATGAGTCCTTTATCATCCACAAATGGTCGCAAAATTTTTAGACGTCTTTTCACTGACACTATTCTTATAGTTTTTAAATTGGCGTATTTTGATGCAAATGCTACTTGTTGAGCAAACACTATTCAATCAGTTCGAGCATCCCTTAACTCCCTTGCATTTAGGTAATATTGGGTATGTATTAAATATATAATATAATTTAAATTTTTTATCCCAGGCTATTATATTATAACAGATAATATATTTATATCTAGGCGAGAGGAAGAGTACGGTCGAGAAATATTTAGTTATAAAAATATTAGCATCCACTTTTCATCTCCTGTCATTATTTTAAATTGTTAATAACTTCCGAAATACTGGGCCAAATGTTGTTATCGATCAGTCATTTTTTTTATGAAATAAGCTAGTTAATTTTGTATATTGTCATTTGAAAAAATAAAGTTTACACCCTTCTACCTACCAAAGTCAGCCATTCATTCCTTTATTTTAAGAAAGTTTTACTTCATCTGTAGACCTGAAACAGCCTCACTATTTGTTTTTTTACAACTGGCGAGGTATCGTGGAAGCATACTGATCCCTTTCTACAGGAATTTCCTAGTTATATTTGTTAATGAAAATACTGTTATAACTCAAAAATCGGGGATTTTAGCACAATTTCAATTTAGAACATAATAATTAAAAATTTATTTTAATCTTTGAAATTGATTTATTTATTATATCATAAGATTATTAGTAGTTTGAACACACCCACGAGATATGTGTATCTCATTTATTTGTATAAAATTTAAAAGTAACAATTTTTTCTAATGAAATTAATGCGCAATATTTTTTATTTTACTTAACGCGGTTTTTATTAGTTTTGTAAAGTGGCGTAGATACAGGGAGGGTTTAAACCCCCCCAGAATAAAAAAAAATCATTTATAAATAAAGTAGAGGTACGATTTAATATTATTTTTTTACATTTTGTTAATTTATCAATTAATTTTAAATAAAAAAATACATCTTTAAATATTAATTAGTCAAAAATTTAATATGAAATAAACCCCCTCCAGAAAATAATTGTATCTACGCCACTGGTCTTGTACATAAAAATGTAGCGCTATTGATAAATCTAACATTTAAGCAAAATTCAAACTACCAAATTTAGTATTAAACCAATAACTGCCTATCTATTGTAACATTATCTTTTTTGTGACTACAATCATATCTTTATAATGTAAGTATACTCAAAATAAAAGATAATTATTTATTTAAAAAAACTCCAGATTTGAATAACTTCAAAATACAACTATATATTAACGTATTTTAAATAAAATACTATACTTAAAGCAATACTGATAAAAAAGAAAAATTAGTTTTGCACAACAATTAATTAATAATCAATGATTATCTTTTTTTTGAGAAAAAGATAACAGAAACGCGTTTTTGATATTTACTAGAGGTACAGCACAAATGTATCAATTTTGAAACGAATGCCAGAACCATCAACCAAAGTTGATCAGCTTTAGTCAACTTTAAAAATACTTGTAGTGGGAGGAATTCATGTTTATCAACATTAGTTTCAATAAGATGGGACAACCTGTTACAAAGCCTATGAGATAATGTCTTTGCAGCGTGAAAAATTCAATGATCGTGTGATATCACTCCACAGCGAACATGGTTAACCCCTTAGATCTTGTAATCTGATACTTTTAGACTTTTTTTTATGAAGATATAATAAGTCACATGTAAATGTTAACAAACGTACTATTGTTGAACTTGTTAAAACGGAAATTAAACGAGTGATGAGTGAAATTTACGGAAACGTTTGTAGCCGAATGATCGTAAACTTCAACGAGTGGTTAGATTAGGTGGAATAGATGTAATATTTTACCATAAAACCGGAAATATTTACGAATGTATGTATAAAAAAAAAAATTTTTATTTGATTCATTTTTTATGGTTATGGCATTTTCAAAAAATAGTTGTTTGCGCCGCAATCTTTATTTAAAAAAAAGGGTTTTTACCATAACATATATAATTCTTTTTATAGAAATTCCTTTAAGTTTATAAAAAATAAATGAAAAAAAAAATTTATTCGTGTATAACAAATGTATTCATTATTCTATTGCATCTGAAGTTAACTTATGTTAAATAATACAGATATCAATAATTAGATAATAATAATTTTAAGTTACCAAGGAAAAATACTGAAAATTATACACATTTCTTGACTCATATTACATTTACGTTATTATTTTAAAAATATTTTTAGTTTTTTTTTTTATTAATCCCATTTATCTTGTAACGAGTCACAAGACGAATCAAAAGAACTGAAACAACTTGACAACATATTTGAACGTCGTAACATGGCAATGGCTAATGGATCCTTTTCTTTACAATCTAACTTTGGCTTTTCCTTAACCTTTTCTAAACGCTCAACAAACTAAATAAAATTTTAAAATCAAACTATTGACTGTTTATTATACGAATTTCGAAGCAATTAATTTAAATGTTAATTAAGGTGAATAAAATTATTTTCAATAAAACAGAAATTTTTAATTTTTAATTATCTTGGAATGTAATATGTGACCAATTAAACTACAAATTAAAAATGCAATAAAAATAGGCGATTGTAGAAAACTTGTAATAGAATGTAGGAACTTTTAAGCTAAGTATATATGCGTGATTAGCTTAACTAATCAATAATTTATGTACAAATTATTGATTAATTACACGAATTACGGAATAATAAAATGTAAAACGTCAAAATATTCAAACTATTTTTTTAACCGTCAGAAAAAATTAATTACTAAGTTATTATTCTACATATTAAATTATAAATATTAAGAAATATATATACACAGTGATTGATTTATCATTGATGATAAGATTTCTTCTAAAATAATAAAAATGCTGAAATATAAATTCAGGCTTTGTTGATTTTTATTTATTTTTTTGTTGAATAAGTGGTTGAATAATTTTTAAATCTATCCTTTATTCCTTTTAAGAGTATCAACTTTTTTTATTGCAACATACATATTTTATTAGTTAAAATGTTAGAAAATAATCCAACTAAGAAAATGACAGACCGATACCAATTTTGAATTAGTCTTTCATAAGTTATGAATATTTTTATATATTGGTGGGAAGATTGAGGCAAAATTATGAGTAATGATAAGAATAACATAACCTCGCCTATGTATAAAATACTTAGTAATTAATAAATCAAGAAATATATAAAAAGAATATTTTAAAAATAATTTTCTTAACATAATTTCTTTTTTTAAGGAATATTGAATGTCTTATATTAAAAGAATCACCTTATTTATAAGAGTGACGGGTTTATCATAAACCATTCGATTACTCTTAAAAAAANAGGGTGTTGAATTTTTCTGGAGGGATATATTTAATACCCTTCTTCAAAAAATAATTTTTATATAACAATGCATGTAATTTTGCTAAATTTTTGGGCAAAAGATCGTTGTCCCCTTTACTTTTTACTTTTAGTACCCCCAAATATTTTAGTGAATCTAAATTCGTTTTAGGTCATTTAAATTTTATTTTATAAATATATATATATATATATATATATATATATATATATACCTTTAATTTTATTTTTTGTTTAATCTCATCAGTGGAATTGGATGGAAGAGCTGATTTATTTTAAATTTTTTTAATGTTTTTCTTTGTTTTTACTACCGGGTAATTCGTTTCGGAACTGGTTTAATAACCTCTAAAAATTTGTTTTACTTAATTAAAATTTAGGTTATCATGCTAGGTATTAAATTATTAATAATAAAGTCAGCTTAATTACAATTAATTATATTGAAGTTGTTTTAATATAGTTAAATCATCACAACATTATCTCATTATAATCAAGAATCATTTTTTAAATTATAAACCATTTAAAATTCCGTTAGGTTTACAATTGTCTTAAATATATACTTTTATTTTTTTCAAAAAAGAATAATTATTATTCTTAATGATTCTAAGTTTAAAAAATTATGAACTTTTGAGTATGAACTATTAAAGATTAAATTATTTATTTTAAATACACTCAGAAAAAAAACGTTCCATGCTTTAATGAAATTGAATCATTGTTATTATGCCTAGCGTATTACTTAGTAATAACGCTGAAATGAATTAAAATAATAATTTTTCTTTTAAAATAAAACCTCACTCAATAAATTTAAAGATTTTTTTAATGACAATTTAAAAATACCGTAATTAAATCAATAAAATATAAATATTTTAAACAAAGGAGTCCATTATTTGTTTCATGCACACAATTTACTTGAATGTAATAAAAATATGTTTTTTTTAAAGGATAGGGTAATTAATATAACCAAAAAGTTCTACGCTTCTATCATAGAGAATCTTTATTTTTAAGTAAAAAATGTTACTTCAAATCAAAACTAAATTGAATTAAAATATTAATGTTTTACTTAGACTAAAAGTAATTATAATTTTGATTTAACGGAAGTTAAAAAATTAAATTGTATATGTTGCATCATAAATAACTAATTTTTACTATATTTAATTTATACTGGTCAAAATATTTACTAT